TTGGAATGGGCCGTTTCTGCACCACTAACCTGAAGTTTTAGTCACCTGGGGGGTGGGGTGGTTCAAAACCAGAGGTTCCTGGACCTCACATAAAAAGGAAATCAGACCCATGGGCAGGGCCCTGGAAAATGTCTCTCGAATAATTCTGGCATGTGGCCAAATCTGGAGACTCTGTCCTGGGTAAGAACTAAGACTTTTTATTAGTACCAGCGAGGGTGTAGCACAGTGCTCAGTCATAGCTGGACTATGATAAACATTTGTGTAATGAATGAAAATCTAGTAACATGAATCTGGAGACTGGGTATATATTTTCAACTCCAGCAGCAGCACCTAGAAAAACTGCTTCCTGGAATAGTGTGCAAATACAGACTGGGCAGCTTTCCAAATGTGTTTTTTAATCCACCAGTGCCCCCTACTGACCTGAAGATGGATAAATCAAAACAATGGTTCCAGTTTAAATATCTTCATCGTATATGCACATAACTAGTCACACACACAGTACTATTTCCACCAACACCTATACTATCAATTCCTTTCCGCTCCAGTCCTGGTTGACCCAAGCTGATAACTCTTAAACCCAGATGAATCCTACCATTTGCTGGTCCCCACTTCCAGGAGGCAGCCATGATGAACCTCCCGAAGCAGTTCTCAGAAGAGTCCTCAACGACCCTCACTGACCTTTTTTTCCTTTGGTCAGTGCCTCCTGCAAATCCCACCACACTCATAAAATCGATCTACTTTTAAAAACACAAGAAACCATTCATCTACCCATCTGCTTCAGTTCTTGCTATTCCAAGTACGATGGGGGACCAGCGGCATCTGTATCATCCAGAAGCTCACTAAAAAAAAAAAAATGGACACCAAGAGGCCCCACCCCAGACCTACTGGAGCAGAGCTGCATGTACATTAAAGTTTGAGAAGCACTGGTTCTTAACTTTCTCAACTACTAGACCTAACACCGCCATTCTGTGACAAATATTCTAAGTAACTGTTTTGCTATCTTGAAATAAAATTTATCACCCATCTACACATGTAAGACCAAAAAAAGAGAGACCAGTATACTGATTTGATGGTAACATGTTAGAGAACAAAAGTGAAAGATTTATAAGAATTATATTTCAGTCTATAAATGTTAAAAACAACTAAATTAAAGACATGCAGAAACAATCCAAGTTTCCAAAATGTATCCCAAATGGTTGGTACTGTCTGGCTGAGAACCACTCGTCTACCATCACTCCCAACCTTTTCTTTCCAGCTCACAGAAGGAAGGCAACATCTTTCCTCCTTTTTGACGCTGAGGCATTCTCTCCTCTAAAAGCCCCCTCCTACATTCCTCCCTAAGGCCATAAACACTGCCAAATCTTGAATACTGGAACAACCACAAAAACAACTCTACAATCTTGACCCAACATGTCCTTCTAGTTACCATATTCTCTCTCCTTCCCTTGAAGGAGAAAGTCAAATTTATCAACCCCACCATTGTGTCCATTTACTCATGTCTCAATCACCAACCCATATTAATATAGCTTTCATTTCCATCAGTAAACCCACATGTATAAAAGTCACGAAAGCTTTCCAAATTGCCCAAATTAACAAACACTTCTCTAAATTCATCTAACTTATCTCTCTGTAATGGACATTGCTGGTCGCACATCCAAACTCCATTCCCCACTGTGTTAAATTCATTTCTCTCCCACGTGTTTAAGGTAAACTGACCCCATCCCTAGCGGATCCTGTTTAGTCCAAGCCAATCAGAGCATGGCATTCCCCTGGCACTGGCTATCAGGTCAGGGGCGGACATGTGACCTAAGTTGGTCCAATCAGATTGAAGGAAAAGTGTAATCCAAGCATGGAAGTTTTGTCCTCTCCCCTGCTCTAGTGAATGAGAAAGCATGTGTTACTATTGCCAGTCATGCTACAAACCATAAGGGGAACCAATCTTACCATGGAAAGCCAAGAAATGAGCCCAGGTCCTTGATAACATTGTTGACCCACTGTAGTCCACCCTTCCTTTAGACTTTGTGAGAGAATTCTCCTTACTATTTAAGTAACTGGGTTTGCCCAGCTGAAAGCATCCTAACATAGCCTGTCCTCCTTGAAACTTTTTTCCCTTGATTTTCTAAACATCACCCTTTTGTACACCTACTTATCAGAAATTGCTTCTCGAACATCTCTGGCCTCCCCTCTTCCTCTGCTTATTTCTTATATTTTGGTGTCTGCCATGGTTTGTTGTGATCTTTTCTACTCAAACTATATGTCTGAATAATTTAAGCTGAGCTATACTAGCACTCCCCACAAAGGAGTACCACTGCTGATGCTCCCCAGCTCATCCACCTGAGGAATTCCTACTTGTCTTTCAAAATTAATGTTAATGTCTCCTCCGTGAAGCCTCCCCTTAAGTTCCCAGGGGTTCTTTGCCCTTTTTTTTGTGCCACAGACCCTATGGACCCCTTCTCAAAATAATGCTTCTAACTGCATAAAATGCCAACTATACTTCAATAGTTATAAAAACATTTTTAAAACTCAAAAGGTGATACAGTAATATATACTCATTACCTCATTAAATAAAAGGACCTAACAGTGAGCCTTTTAACTACTGTAATTTTGAAGTAGTGATGACCATAAATGATACCTTGCGATCTGCAAAAATTGTGATATGAAAATATCTGTGACATCTGTTGGTCTTGTGACTTCTATTGATGACAGGTACTGCTAATACTATTGTGATTTATTGCTGTACAGCTTATTAAATTAATTGCTCCCAATGAACCTCCTCACATCCATGCTCTTGTGTAGTGCACCCATATTGACTCTGGCTTGGCCACGTGACTTGTTTTGACATCAGCAAATGTGATGCAAGCAGGTAAGTGTTTGCACAATCGGACTTGCCCTCTTGGAACCCAGTGACCGTGTGAGGAAGTCCAAGGAAGGCAAAATGAGGGGCACCAAGCCCCCACACATTACAGTAAGGCCACCTTAAAGTCTAGGCACCAGCTGAATTCAGCCACTTGGGGATGCCAGAACTGCCCAGGCAACCCACTGATGATGAGAAATAATAAATTATTGTAGTTTTAAGGCACTGGTTTTCACTGGCTTGTTACCCAGCAATAGCTAACTGGAACAGTTACCTACACTCATAACTGAAGGAAATGTTAACATTTCAGTTGCAGACTGGTGAAAAGAAAGATTTTTTTTTCCATCAGGGTTTAGGGACTCCCCTGAATTCTATCTACAGACCCACTGAGGGGCTGAAGAGCACAGGTCAAGAACCCCCGGTGTAGAGGGGAACCCCTGAGGCAGAGGAGATCCTGTTCTCCTTTCTACTACCAAAGTGCATTGTTGATACCCATATAAACTGATCACAGCATATCCTTTGTTGGTGCAACCCTAAAACTGAGCTGAGCTCCTAGCACATAATAGGTGTTCAACACAAATCTATCGAATGAATGCAAGTTGCTTATGATCTGTAGTGGTAAGTAAACCAGCCTGAAAACAAAATAAAAGTAAATACTTAGATGGCCCTTCTATATGCCAAGAGCTCTTCCAAGTGCTTCACACTCACTTATTTATTCCTTATAACAACCCTATTAAGTATATGCTATTCCCCCAAATTCACCGATAGGAAAACAGGCACAAAATGGTTAGTGATGTGCCCAAGGTCACCCAGCTAGAAAGTGGCAATGCCAGGACTGTAAGGCCGAATCCATGTTCTGATTTTATAGCCTGTCCTGATGTGCCCAGAGCACATTGCAGAACCACAATAAAACTTTTAAACAAGTAGTACAATTTTGAGATTTCATTAGCACTATTTTATGGGTGCTATGCTTCTTGAAGACTCAATTTTGTAGACTAATTTCTCGTAGCTTGTGATTTCTCATGATAGAAAACATTTACTTTTTAAAAAAAAGTAGTAGAATAATGGCTTCGGGTTAAAATGCAGATTTTCGAAACAAAGAAAAGCGATTTCTTTCAAAGGACAAAAGTTCGTCAAACGTAAAGAAGGGGATCGACTTGTCTATACTAAATAATGTTCACTTGGGAGGGGAACTAAGTTCCAGCTTCCCACCCTTTCAGCCATTCCCACACCAGCTTCCCCAAATTCTACAGCAGCTTCTCCAAAGGTGACCCTCCCCCATTCACACACCAGGTTCTGAAACCTGACCCCGCCAGGCAACTAAAGCCGAACCCTGCAGTGCCCTGGGCTGGCCTCTCCTTACCCAAGAACCCAATAAGGAACCATCGGGAGGTGGGGTGGGTGAATACTTTGGCGGGTACTTTAACTTTTCAAAGTGTTTTATTCACGAGAGCAAGACCCACAGGGCCCGCCCACCCACCCGGGGATCTCACGCCTCCGCCCGGCAACCTCTCGCTCCTAGCGCATCAGTGAATGAACTGCGGAGTCCGGACGCACCCGGCCCGGAGGCGGGAAAGCCTCGGGGCGAACCGGGCCTAGCCCCCGGGAAAGCCCACGAGAGCGCGAGCAGGGCTCCGCGAGGCCGGGAGGGGGCGGTGACAGCTGTGACCCGGCTCCACGCTCTCACCTTGAACATGCTGCTGGTAGAGGTGGCTCCGGCGGGGTGACCCCGGCCTTGGCCCCGCCCACTACAGAGAGGTGGCTACGGCGGCCGGATAGGGCCCTGATTCCTCTGACCGCAAGCGGGCCGCGGTGCGGATGACTGCCGAACAGCCAATTCGATCCCGCGAAGGATTTGTTCGGAAGCCTGGTCTGGGAGCGGCGTCGCTGAGCGGTAACGCGTCGCTCCTCAGTCAGGGAGAGAACGCAAGCCCCGCCTTCCGGAGGCTCCGCCCCTGCGCCGACCGTTGCTAGGCGGCAGGAAAGCGCCAGCTCAGTGTGGGCGGCACGCGGGGGCGAGAGGAGGGAGGCGCCAGGCTCCTAGCCGCGCTGGGAATCGGCCTTCGCTACCGCGATTGGGCGCCCAGCGGCGTGGGCTGGGAATACTGTGCGCCGAGGCTGCCGGGCGGGGGCGCTCAGCTGGTCTCAGGCATCTTTGAAAGTCTTACAGCCGGAAGCTGCCGACCCCTGGGACCTGGAATTATCTCACAAAAGGTTTTCAGATTTTTTTTTTCCGTGGGCTGGAAGTTCCTGAGGTTTTAAATGTAATCTAATTTGCCATATCCTTTAGTCTCGAAAGGCCCTGACCCTCTCTGGGAATCAAATGTCCCTTAATACTACTAGAAAAGGTAATAATGAGAGTGATGATCTAATTAACAGGAATACACTAACAAAACACTAACACCGTGTTTACTATGTGCTCAGCTCTGATCTAAACTCCTTACACAGGGCGCCTGGGTGGCTCAGTTGGTTGGGCGACTGCCTTCGGCTCAGGTCATGATCCTGGAGTTCCGGGATCGAGTCCCGCATCGGGCTCCCTGCTCAGCAGGGGGTCTGCTTCTCCCTCTGACCCTCCTCCCTCTCATGCTCTCTGTCTCTCATTCTCTCTCTCAAATAAATAAATAAAATCTTTAAAAAAAATAAAATAAACTCCTTACACATATTCATCTAATCTTTCCAACAACCCAGGTAGGTGAGTACGATTATTCTTCCCAATCTAGTAGATGAGGAAACCGAGGCACGGAGAAGTAATTTGCACGAGGCCACACGGAAAAAGTGGGAACCCAGAATCCAAACCGAGGTAGTCTGTCTTTAAAGCCTGTGATCTCACCTAAATAATTGTTATACTGTCTCATAATGGGGGTATGCTTCATATTTCGATCTGTATTACACGTCCTCACCCCCATAGAAAGTGTAAATTCATCCAGGCGGGCATCCAAAAGATTTTGGGGGTTTGTGTGAGGCCGCATCGCGCCCTCCAGCCAAAGACCACTAGGAACACATCTATAGTTGAACAAGTTGGGTTTATTATGCCTCACTGCTGCAAGGAAAACACACAACTTGGCACAGCAGGGCATCTCAGTGAGAGGGTGCTAGAAAAATTTATTATAAGATTTGGGCTGGGGCTCCTGGGGTGGCACAGTGAGTTAAGCATCGGGCTCTTAATCTCAGCTCAGGTCTTGATCTCAGGGTCGTGAGTTCAAGACCCCCGTTGGTCTCCACGCTGGGCATGCAGCCTACTTAAAAAAAAAAAAGATTTGGGCTTTGGTTAGGTAATTTGGGGGCGAATTCAAAGAAGCCAGGCTTTGCTCTGGTTTGGGTGATGTTAGGAAGCCAGGATAGTATCAAATCCCAGCTGTGAGTGCCAGGCCAACTCCCACATGTTAAGGGCTGCTTTTCTGTTTCTCAAGAGAATTGTATATTCCAAGCCATCCCTATCCCTATCCTCAAGGACAAATATTGAGAAGACTGAAGGCTCTGCATTTGTAATGGAATGGCACATGTATATAAAAGAGTGAAGTATAGTGATAAATTAGGGCAGGAGCTCTTAAATTTTTTTTAAAGATTTATTTATTTGAAAGAGAGAGAGCAGGGGGAGAGGCAGAATGAGAGAATTTTCAAGCCGACTCCCCGTTGATCCCATGACCCATGAACTCATGACCTGAGCTGAAATCAAGAGTTGGATGCTCAACCTGACTGAGCCACCCAGGCGCCCCAGGGCAGGAGTTCTTAATTCAAGGGGTATATGAACTTAGATGGGGAAAAAAATTACAACTTTATTTTCACTCATCTCTAACTGAACTTCAACATTTCTTTCACTTATAGTGTAGGCAACAAAGCACAGTGGTATCAGCAGTACCTGGGACTTAGTCACCAGTAGAAAGCACAGATACTTTCATACAGTGTTACAGTCATGGCAGACTTCTGGACATACCATTTCTGCTCATTAACCACCTCGCAAGTACAGTAGTTATTAGAGCGCTCATCTTATTTAACGCCTAAAGAGGACAGATTCCTGTAATTTTGTTTCTGAAAATATTTGGACAGTGATTTCAATATAGAGTCCTTTGTGGTCCTATGTGTTTTATGTTATGCATTTATAAAATGTAATTCTTAGGAATCTGTCCATAGGGGTCCATGGCACCAGAAGAAAATGAAGAGCCCCTGCTTTAGTAGAAGAGACTAAGCAGTGACTAAGAATTTGTGAACTGCATCCAAATCGGCGTAATGCATCAAAGGATAGAAAACCAAAGGTGGAATCAGTACAGTTAGTACACACCCTCTCACTTTACCATGGAGAGAACTGAGGTACCAAGAGGTTAAGGAACTTGCCCAAAGTCTCACTGCTGTTCCATGATAACACCAGGACAGGGCGCCTGGGTGGCTCAGTTGGTTAAGCGACTGC